TTTATTATAATGTGAGGGCTAGCCTAGGGAGGATATATGAGAGGGGCAGTGGTATAGAGTATAGTACGTGTGTTCATAGTGGACTGGTGTTGACACAACATAATATATGCAACATACGAAAAGCTATGGGGTCGCCTTTAATTTTTGAGCATGACCTAGCTAGAGCTTGAATTGAGAGTGGTACCTGAGTGTGGGCCCACTAACTATGTGGTGGCCTCATGTGAATTTCTCTCCTTTCCTACTTTTTTTTCTTCAAAGTGTGCCATAGAAAAAAACGTTGTTTTCATACTCCTATAACGTTCATATTGAATTTATTGGAAATTTAATTTATTTTATAGGACCTTTGGTCATTACCGTTTAATCATTATTCAAGTAAATGTCCATCATTATTGGATATTATTTCTTCCACTAGACATTATTATTAAGTCATATTTAAAGAATAAAAAAGTTTAATTCCTACATTGGAAAATGACTTATGTTTTAGTCCTATTTAGTGGAAATTTCATTTAAAACTATAATTTATCCTTTCAAAACTAAAATGATGACTTAGTTTCACCATTCTTCATCCCATACATGCTTAGTTTCACAAAGATAGATAATTTTATCATTATATAATTATAATCCCTCCGCCCTAATATATTTGCAGTTTGATTTTTTTGAGTTAAACTTGATGAATTTGAGCTTCAATTAAATAAAGATTATAATCTACGGAGTATATTTGTATAAAAATGAATTTATTAAATTTATCGTATTGCAATGTTTCAAAATTTTATTTTATTATATATGCAATACATATTGAGAGTAATTGAAACTCAACATTTGTCTAGTTTGGTTTGAAAAAAGTCAAACTGCACAAAAACACTTGAATGAGGTAGTATTCTTCATTCAATGCATGCTTAGTTTTCCCTTGTAAAATGATACTACCACCATTCATAAGTATTAGATCAGTTTTGAGTGTTGAATTCAACCACTTTTATTCTTTGAGCTATAAAAAAATTGAATTAATAAAGTATATTGGTTAGATAAAATACTATTTTCAAAATTATTATATTTAAAAAATCTAAGAACTTTATTTATAAATCAATATCTAGTATCAACTTTATTTAGTTAGCACTTAAAGTTTATCAATTTTGACAATGAGGGTACCAAGTAAAACACTAGAATAATCCGGTCTTCCCTGTTAGGGCTGTCAACGGATAGCCGAAAATTCAATTACCGTCCACATCCGTATCCGTTTAAATAGGAAATATCCGCATTCGTTTTAAATAGATATTATCCGTATCCGATTATGGATATCCGATTACTAAAAAGATACGGATTTGGTAATTGTATATCCGATCCGTTTAAAATCCGATCTGAATATGTATCCGTTTAAATAACCGTTTATCCGAATATCTGATCCGTTATATATAGTTTTTCCTATTTTTATGTTTATATTTTGTTTCTCTATTGATATTTCAAAGTACAAGACATTTTTATATACAAAACAAATGTGTAGACACATAAAAATATGTTCAGACATGTAAAAATATGTGTATATGTGTGCAATGTATATCTTTTTATTATATGAAATTATCGTAGAATATCATAAATCATGAAAACTAAGAAACTAATCATCTCATAACAAATTATAGTTGATTTAATAATAGTTTGGCTTTAATCTAATTTAAAATTAAAGTATTGTTTAATTTGATTTTAAAAATTAGAAACGGATACGGATATATCCGATATCCGACCGATGCGGATACAGTTTTAATTTTCAGTATCCGTCAACATCCGTATCAAAATTCGATATCCGACAAAAATAAACGGATGCGGATTTGGTAATGATACATCCGATCCTATTAATGTCCGTTTACCCCTGCCCGTTCCAAAGTCTAGCTTCCCTCGCGCTTCAAGCCTTTATCTTTAACTCGGTTAATCATATCTCATCATGTGAACTTCAACTATTTAAATTCAACCGTCACTGGCTCTTTCTTTCTTATATTTTTACTCCTGCATATATTAATACGGATGTTAGATTAGATTCCTAAATTAATCATTTACTCTGTATTAGTTATTATTCGTTATTTACTTCGTACTAGTTAGTACTCCTTATTTTATTATGGTTAGGGTTAGCATGCAGTTACTTCTTAATAAGCTTCTGTCTTAGTATATTTATCTAGCTTAACTTTTTTGAATTAAATAGGATAACCTTTGAGTTTCAATTTAACAAAATTATAATGTACTCCCTCCGTCCCCAAAATAAGTTCCCCTTTCGTTTTTTCTTTGTCCCACAAAGATGTTCTCTTTTCTATTAAAAAACAATTTTTACCCCTTACTTTTTCATACCCTACATATCGCATCATACCTTACTAATAATCTATCCATCACATCTTACTTTTATCCATCAGATCAAGGGTATTTTTGGAAAGTCAACACAAAATATCTCTCCCTTAATTTCTCAAAAAGTCAATAAGGGGACTTAATTCTTTCAGGGACAGAGGAGTATATTAGTAAAAAATAATTTTTAGATAAACCTTGTTGAGAATTTTTAAAATTATATTTCATTTATCTACTTTGACTCGAAAAAATAAAACGAAACAAAAACGTTGGGACGATGGTAGTATATTATTATTAGTGTTAGGGTTTATTTATTCCTTATATAAAGAGATGTAATCCAATTAGAATCAATCAAGAATAAGAAATTACGGAGTAAAAGTTATCTTTCTCTCTTTTTTCGGAAGACCAGAAACACTCAGAGGTTTCCGGCTTTAATTTCTTTTCCTCTTCTTCTTGCATGCCCGAAGATGATCAAAGTTCTTCCATATCCCAATACAGTTTGTACAAGATATAAATTATTTATTCTATTTTTTCTTACTCTCATTTTATCATTGTATTGTTTTTCGTTCAAAGAAGAGAATAATGTTGAAAATCTTGGAGGGATAATAATGCCGCGAAGTAGTGTTAGAACACTACAAGAATGTAAGTGCAGAATAGACAGAAAAAAGAGACAGATTTCCGTCTCACATAGAGAGACAGAAAAAAGGAACAGAATTCCGTCTCAAAAACTAAAGACCGAAAAAAGAGACGGATATCTGTCTCAGAAGTTGAGACAAGTATGAGAGACCAATATCCGTCTCTTGATGAAGCTTATATTTTTAGTACAGTATCTTGTGTTTAGAAGTCATTCTTTTCTTATCTTCCAATCTTTAATATACTTTTCTTTTTATGAATTTTTATTCTTCCATAAACATTATCTTTCATTTTTATTTTATTTACCTATTTATACTCATCTTGAATATGAGGACTATCCTCATTCAAAAATCTTTTTATTGCTTCTACTTCATCAGAAAATTTACAGTCCCATATCTCAGGTATGTAATTATATTTTATAGAATATTGTATTTTGAGTTATTCTTTGTTTATTATTATTATTATTCATCTATTAAAATGCAAGAGTTGTATATTTAAATCAATTTTTAGATAATAAATTTTTGTAGTTACGTTTAGTTTAATTATGTTATTGATTGAAATACTTCTTCATTTAATTTATACAAAAATTAGCATATTCATGAATTTTTTATAATTTAATTATATAATTTTTTAAATTGTTGTAGGTTAGTTACTAATGTCAAATAGAAGGGAATGGATGGGAAAACGTTTGATGGAAAATGGTTGGATAAATCCCGAATTTTTAAATGGTGTTCAAGATTTTATGAAAGTTGCATTTGCCAATAATGAAGATATGGTAAAATGTCCCTGTAAGAAATGTGGATTAAGATATTTTTGGGGTTCTATTAAAATTGATAAGCATTTGCGAAAGAATGGATTCATGAAGGATTATGAGGTTTGGTATTGTC